GACAGGACAGAAAATTAGGTAGGTGGAGTAGACAGAACAGAATGCTGGGAGAAAGAAGCCGAGTCAAGCAGTCACCATGATTCTCTTCTCCGAGGCAGACGCAGGTTAAGAATCTCCCTGGTAAGCCACCAGTTTGTGGTGCTACACAGATTATTAGAAATGGGTTAATCAAGATGTGAGAGTTAGCCAATAAGAGGCTAGAACTAATGGGCCAAGCAGTGTTTAAAAGAATACAGTTTCCATGTAATTATCTCAGGTAAAGCTAGCCGGGAGGCGGGACACAGCCCCACTGCTCCATCTACAGTAGAAGATATGGCATGGATGTGTCTGAATTTGGAACTGCCTTAGGATTTATTGCTGGGAACTCAGCTATCCCACGTCTATCCCAGATGCATTTTGCTTTTTCTTCACTGTTCTCCTTTCTGCTCTTCCCTGAACTTGGCTCGCGAGAAAATGCAGCATATCGCCTGGATGCCAAGACCAGCGAGTTGGCCGCAGTGATTCTTTGGCCCTCGTGCTCGTGAGCTACATTTTCCTACTCCTTGACTTTGGGTTTAAACATGTAACTCATTTTGGCCGTAAAGATCTTCATAACAACAACAACAAAAGACCAGAATTATGCTTGAACATCCCTCTTGTCCTTTTGTGCTCCAGAATTTCAGAATAAGCACATGGCCTAAATAACTATTTCCTAGAATAAACATACCTGGACTGATTTGGAATGAACTTATATCAGGGAGCCAATATCAGCTTAACCTGCAGCCTGAAATAGAGTCCAGGTTGGCCAAACTATGTACCTAAGGACTTATATGTAAGAATTAATGACACGCATTTATTTAGTGTATACACACAAACACATACAGTTAAATGTTGTACTTCTAAGCCACCAATATAGACATGGTATGTACTGAAATTTATTGGACATGCAGAACAAGAAGAAGAAAACTATTTTCTTTTTCTTTCTGAGTTAATCAGTAGAGAAAGGCACAAATGAAGTTTCCAGGATGAAGGGGCCTGCATTCATGGCCTGGGACATGAGGGACAGCGTGATTGCTGTGTTTACTTGTTGGACCAGGGTTTGCTGGTTACAGGGTGAAAGGTGGAGAAAATCCCTGCCAGGGAGAGTGTGCTTCTCCAGCCAGACTTGTAAGCTCCATCCTTGAAGCCAAGCAAAGGCTGCTTGTCACTGGAAATGGGCTAAGGAACAAAGGGATAAAGCAATGGCTCTCTCGGCTCTCATCCCTGCAGCCTTACAAGTGAAATTAGTGCATTGCTAAACGTAGCAGTCATGTTACTAATCGATCTCAATTCACTTCATAGCCCCATAGAATGCCACCTTCAGCTAAATAGGGCTTAGGCTTTATTAGAAATACTGCTATATTTTGTTTATGAAGTAAGCTGTAGATTAAAGTCACTGGAACAAAGGATTAAAACTGAAGCTGCTCAAGGCAGGTTTTGTCTCAGTCTAGATTATTGCCCGATGAAGGAATTACTGCAGCAATATATGATTCATAGTTTTGCAAGTGGGATTTACTATAATAGTTAATGGAACACATATGAAGCTTATTATGAAATACATTGGCGTAGTGTGTCTGGTACCCAGAGAATCTCGGCACCAGTACAAGTCTTTGGTACATGAAGACAAAGATGCTGAGAGGAGGAGGTTTATTTTAAGAGAGTCAACTTTGTGGAGTAGAGAGTAAGATTGGTGATTTAGCAGGGCTTGCCTAGAGATGTGCAGTTATTCCTAGTTTAATCTGTAGATTTTTCCATGGTACTAACTCCCATTTATTTACTTCGAGTCCTTGAACTTCCAACACAGAAAACTGTATGTTATTGGTAGGGATCCTTCTGCCTCTTCAGGTGTATAAATGACCCATCGTATGACTGAGTTGAAGTCTCAAAGAATGCCTTTATTATGTACATGGGGTTCTTTTTCTTTTAGTTTTTACAGTCTTATGTTATATGATTATAAGCACAGCTTATCAGTGGCATACAACTATTTGGGGAGGTGATAGAGGATAAAATGGAAGCCATTAGATAAACAGAAACTGGGGTCATTGAGATATCCCAACAAGCTTTGACATTAGCTGTACAAGCCTAGAGACCTGGTTTCAATCCCTAGGATCCACATGAAGGTGAAGGAGAGAATTACTCCCCAAGCGGTCCTCTGATCTCCATGCCATGTCATGTGCCACATGAAGGAATAAATAAATTTTATTTTTAGAAATGAAAGAAACCAGAAACATTATATCTTACTGCCTCTCTTCTATTCAAGTTACAAAACCTCACTATGATCAAGTATTTGCATGTTGAAGCAATTAGCTCTTCTAAATTGAAACTCAAAATGTTGTACATGAAATTAAGGGCTTTAATACTACATCCTTGTATACAATCAATAATCACAAGCTTCCTCGAAACCACAGATTTGCCTTTTGGTTCTAAAACTCAGAAACCTGATGTAGACCTAAAATCAAGGTGCTGGTGGGCTGCATATGGTTCTCGGAGTCTGGGGAGCAGGTCTTCTGGCAGCTTCCTGCTCCCAAGGCTTTCCGGGGTTCCCTTGATACATCATGTCTACACTGACTCTGCCACCTCCGTCTTCAGTACTCAATAATTCTGAATTTGCATGGGCTCTACCTTATGAACCGGGACATTTCCCCGTTTTGAGGGCTGATTTGTAAACTTCTGTCTGGTGTTCCACAACTAGTACTGTAGGTTTCACTTATAGCTAAAGGTAATTTGAAAGTTAGATGGTCTCCAACACCAAACAACTTGTAAAAAACAGACAGAAATAGTGACCAGAAAGGCTTTGAGTGACAGCTATATTTTAGTGTTTTTGCTCGTTTGTTTTAAAGCTCTGTTTTCATTTTCTGGAATCCTAGGTTTGAACTCAGCAAACAGACATGCTTTCAAGCAGTCATCCTGATACCTCTGTATCCAACTCTCTTTTTTTTCCCTATCTTTTTTCTTTCTTTCTTTTTAGGTATGATGTATGTGCTCAGGTGTGTGTGTGTGTGTGTGTGTGTGTGTGTGTGTGTGTGTGCATGTGTGTACATGGAGGCCAGATGTCAATGTGAGGTGTTTTCCTCATTGATCTCCACCTTATTTTGTGAGATAGGGTCTCTCACTTATTCTGGAGTTTATTATATTATGCTAGGCTGGCCAACCAGTGAGCTTCAGGGATCCATTTGTTTCTGCTCCACCAGCACTGGAGTTATAGACGTGAACCTCTATGGCTGAATTTTATGCAAGTCCCAGGGATCTAAATGCAGACTCTCATGTATGTGCAGCAAGCTCCAGCAGAGCTCTCTCTAGTGCCTCCAATACATCCTTCATTATTTCCCTTTTCCTTTAAAGCATCCGAATTTCTAATAATCCCTGCTCCATCCTTTTCTCTTTCTTCCTAGAGTAAGTCACCACTTACATTCATACCTGTTTTCAGATCTTACATCCTAGCTTGTCCCTGATTCCATGGCCATATTGCTTCTAGTGCCATCTTTTCTAGAAGAGGAGAAGGACAAGAGGAAGAGGGGAGAGGAAAGATGATGTTTAGTTGACTCCATATTTTCATTAGCACAGAGTTTACAAACACTTTAGCATGGCTAACCATTTCCTCTTTAACCTGTGATCCATCTCACAGTACTTCACCTTCATCATGCTCTGCATGGTTTCGTGGACTGACCTAACTGGGGAAACAAGGGAATGAAGACAGGCTAGACATGCAGACACTCATACAGGCAAGCATGGAGGCGGTCTGTGTTTGCTGTCATAGAGAACACTAACTACAGCAGCAGCAGCAGTAAGTAGAAACTCAGCTTGTTTATCTTATACATCTGAATTGAGGAAGCAGATTTATCATACACAGCCAAATCAGGAGACGGCTTCAAGGTATATAGCTAAACAAGGAGGCAGATTTAATTGACCTTGTTGGGGGAGGGGGTCTTTGTAGTTCAGCTGTTTGAGGACATCATCCAATGGCAGAAAGCTGTGGTTGCTAGGTTTTGCACATCCTGGTCATAACCACTCATCCCTGGGCTAGAGGAAGGCTTTGCCATGCCTCTGAGTCTCACCCAGGGAAGGTTTTGTCACTCCCGTGGGTTTAAGGCACTGGCGTCCCTGACATTGGCCATGCCCACGTCAACAGCACACATTCACTCAAGATGTTATCTGCTTCTCACACATTCCCTCAGGGTTCCCTCTGCTCAAGACACCTTCCATTCCCTCTTCGAATTCTGAATCTTTGTTTGTTTTCTGTTTTTAAACCTGAATGACAAGAAGTGAGTAAATTATGAGTAATAAATGTTTATCTAGCTCACTGTTCTGGCGGCAAGGTAGTGCAAATTTATCTCTGCTTGTCAAGGGCAATCTTGCTGCACTGTGACAAAGGAGAAGACATGGAATGGTGAGTCAGAACAAGAATGCTAGATTGGTCTCTTTCTCCCTGATAAATCCACTAATGCCAATATCGGGGTCCTACCATCATAATCATGTGTACTTACTCACCCCAAGAATTCGTTTCCACATATCATCAACAAATGAATTCAGGGATTGACTTTCAGAGTACGCATTTTACCGCAACCTTGAGAAGATCTGACTTTCTGTAGGCTCCTTATTTTTACAGTGTGCCTCTGTAAGAACAAGTGAATTCTGTTTGGAATGCCTTAAATCTCTTTCTTCCTCCACCCCTTCTTGTATGGGCAAATCCCAACTCTTTTGTGTTAGTATGGGTTTTTTTTAGAGGAATTGATAGCATGAATATATGTGATTTATTAGAGTAGCTGTGGTCCAGCTCATCCAATAATGACTGTCTCCCAACAGAAAAGCTAAGAATCCCATACTTCTTTAGTCCCTGAAGCTGGATGTTTCAGTGGATCTATGTTGGAATCCTAAAGAAGTAGACTTTAATGCCAGTGAAGGAGTGCTGTACCAGCAGGATAGGTGAATTTTCCATGGAGATAAAAAGCAAAAGCTTCCTTCTTCTGTGTCCTTTTTTATAGGTTGTTACCTGGAGGTATTGGCCAGATTTAGACTGGATCTTCTGACCTCAAATGATCCAGTCAAGAAAATCCTTCATGGGCATGCCCAGTTGTTCGGGTACTAGTTGATTTCAGATTCAAGTCTACTACCAAGATTAGCCATCACATCCCCCAGCCTTCAGGTAACTTTTACCTTTTTCTTTAAATATTAGTAATGTGTATGTGTGATGGTGGTGGTGGTGGTAGTGTGTGTGTGTGTGTGTGTGTGTGTGTGTGTGTGTGTATGTATGTATGCTGGTTAGTTTTGCCAACTTGACACAAGCTGGAGTCACATGGAATAAGGGAACCGCAGCCATGGTATTCCTTCCATCAGATTGGCCTGTGGACAGGTCTATGGGGCATTTTCTTGTATGATGAATGACATAGAAGGGCCCAGCTCATTGTAAGTGATGCCACCATGGGCAGGTTGTCATACATTGTATAAGAAAGCTGAGCAAGCCATGGAAAGCAAGCCAGTAAGCATTGTGTCTCTGTGGCTTCAAGCTCCTGCCTGACTTTCTTTCCTGGCTTTCCTCGATGATGGACTCTTACCTGTAAGATAAAACAGCAACAACAAAAGAACCTGCCTTTGGTCAGTGTTTTATTATAGCAATAAAGAAAAAAACTAAGACAGTGTGTATAAGCACCCCCACACACATGCTTTTGGGAGTCAGCTCTATTTTTCCACCATGAGACTTGGGGCTTGTTGTGTGATATTTTGCTTGTATTCTGATGTTCCCGAGACTGACAGTAAAACTTGCTTTGAATCATAGAACAGATCTAGTACTAGTTGACTAAAATTAACCTTAGGGGTTTTGGAGGAGGACTGAGGACAGATAGAGAGACACCGGAAATAGTAGGGCCGAGCTTAGAGAGGGTCTGGACCCTTTTGGATCAAGGAACCCGAAAGAGAGAAAGGGGGAGGGATGTCACTAGTCACTTCTCCACTGCTTCTCTGATCATTCAGGTTCTTTACGATATCTGACTCTTAAGTTTTTATTGATAAAGATAATGCTTCAGGGGTTCATGTCCATTCAGGTTGTCAGGCTTGATTGGCAAGCATTCTTACCTGCTGAGTTATCTTTCCAGCCCCAGGTACATCTTAGGTGACACTTAGTCTAGATCTTCTCTTTAATTTCTTTTGACACCACAGCACTCTGAATTTATTCTGCTAACCCACTTTAACCTTGGCTGCAGCTTCCTTGATTAGAGGCCTTTATTCCATAGTGTAAGCATTATTGGAATGGGCATGGTGTCTTAACTACTTTTAGTTTGATGTTCAGCAAATTATATATGTACAAATCTGTGTTCTAAAAACTCATAAAGAAGGAGGCAAGCTATCTGTTATTTTTACAAGAGACTTAAAGCCATAGAACCAAGAATTAGAGCCTTGGGTTTAACTTGGATCCCTCAGTCTCGCCTTTAAAAAGTCCCCCTCGTGTTGGTGGGAAAAGTGAACTTTCTGATATCTCATCATGGCTTTCTAAATTTATCTAAAGACAATTCGAAACTTGGAGAAGGTTTGTTCAGTGAATGAGAACATGGAGTCCATTGTACTCACTGGCCAGTGAGTCAGCCCCTTTCAAGCATTCCCTTGAGGACTATGAGCTGGTTAAAGAGCCAACCATAATGGTTCTCAGCACCACTCACAGTGAGTCAAACAAGAAGGCAAGAGGGTTCGTGTTTATTCATATAAAAGTGGGATGACAGCACCATTCCATTCAATAGGTATTTGAACAATTTAGAGCAGAAATAGGAATAGCAATAGCAAAACCCTTGGTGTTTTCATGGATGAGCTGGAAACCCTGCTCTCAAAGCTTGGATTTTAGTGTAAAACATCCCCCAATTTACTCTCTGTTACTGTATTCCATTTTATAAGTTGTATGACTTTTGTCAAATATTTGTATGATTACAGAAAATCTTAAAACAATCCAAAGGATTTATCCGACAATTTCTACTTGTCTGGAAGAAATTAGAGTCTAACTGGTTATTGTGATTACCAATCTTCATTGCCAACCAGACTAGATTTGGAGACACACCTCTAGGTGTGTCTGTGAGGGAGTCCCTGAGAGGAAAAACTAAGGAGGGGAGGCCCAGCTTGAATGTGGGTGGCACCATTCCATGGGCTGGGGGCACAGACTGATGAAGAGAGACAAGGAGAAAGTGACTTTAGTACCGGCATTCTTCTCTTCCTGTTTCCTGCTTCAGAAACGATGTGAGCAGTCACTTCAGGGCTCTGATGTGACGTCTTGAGCAGCTCTTGCCAACACGCTTTCCCTGTCATGACGCATGGCATGGTGAATGCTTCTCAAACTGGGAGCGGAAGCAAACCCTTCCTTAAGCTATTCCTGCCAGTGACTTTTGTCCTAGTAACAAGAAGAGTGGCTAATGTTGTTATCACACTACTAACACACCTAGATATTTCTGAGGCCAGAATCTGAGCGGCTGTTCCAGTTGTCTCGCAGATCTTTGCATTTCAATCAATAGGTGTTTGTGTATTTCACACTGGTGGGTAAGCTGACATCCACTCTTACCACCCTAGGGCATAAACAAATTCTTTTTAGAGTTGGAGATTGAACGACTGAGTACTTTGATAAATGGGTGCACTCTGTTGGCTTGTTAAACTCAGGAAGTGAGGATTTGGGTAAAAGGAAGAGGAGCAGCTCACTTGAATGTTCAAATGCGCTTTTCTAAGATGAACTCCCTGTCTCTTGGCGCTTGGCTCCTCAAAGCTGAGAGTAGTGGCTTGAATGACAAGGTCCTGCACAGGCTCAGATATTTGAATACTTGATCCCTAATCAGTAGTATTATTAGAGGAGACTCAGAAGGTGGGAGCTTGGAGGAAGTATGTCGCTGGGGATGGGCTTTGAAGTGTCAAATTCTCGTGCACACTCTCTGTTTTTGTCCTTGAATTTGAGATATGATCTCTCAGAACACTTTTTAACCTCTTGCATAAATGCATGGAAAATCTGTTGAATTTAAAAACAAATCTTAGCATCCACTTTTTAAAACTATCAATTCTTTGAGAGTTTTGCACAGTGTATCTTGATCATGCTCACTTCTTCCCCTAATCTTTTATTTGGATGTCTGTCTGCCCACCCATTCTCTCTCTGGTTCTTTCAACATTTATTGATTTATTGATCACCCACTATGTGTGAGAACTGCAAGGGGCAGGGCGATTGATGACTAGTGCTGAGCAGCGCCAGCTGGCATTAGAGTCAGACAAGAGTAATAACTACAACCACAAGTTTGGGCGTGGTGGCTCAGGCCCATAATTACAGTCCTTGTGAGGCTGAAGCCAACGAATTGTTGGGAATTGGAGTTCAGCCTGGGCTAGATAGTGAGTTCAAGGCCAGTGTCCTAATCCTACCTCATCTAAACAAAATCTAACAAACAAAATACAGACTAGTAGTGGATGCTGGAATCAAGGATGGTCATATGAGGATTTAGGATGGGGTGGTATTGTGGTAGGGAACTGCCCAAGTTTCAGATTGCATTCAAATGATGAAAATTCAACTTCTCCCCCTGCTACCAACGACCCGTTCCATATGCAATCCCATTGAGTTACATGATTGATAAAACCACGTTAGATCCCAGCCGTGTGGATGTCCAGAAAAGGTTGAAGTCATGGACTAGGAGAACATACCGAGTTCTGAACAATACTGAGGAAATCTTAGAGTATTTCATTGAACAGACACCATTTTTGTGAAACCAGAGGTTAGTCAGTCCAGTGGCATTTTATGCAAACAACACAAAATTATAACATGGGATGGAAAGAGGGAATAGTTGTATCTAGGAAACATTAAGGTGTTCTATAGCTGCTATAGCATGTGTGTGTGTATGTGTGTGTGTGTGTGTGTGTGTGTGTGTGTATACATGTACACATGTGTAGTAGACCAGTGGATCAGATCTGCTTGATAATATAGCTTGGGACTAAATTTTGATGGGAAGTAAACCATTTACCAAAAACGTTTATCCTGCTTTGTGGATGAGCAATGTTAATAGTCTTACAACCAACCCTGTCTCCACGGTCAGATTCCGGTCACAAGAATCGTCTGCTCACAATGCCATCTCCCTGGCTTCCTTCCCACCTCTTCTCCTTTTCTGGACAACTGAATTTTCAGACATTAATATGAACCAGTGGCTGGAAAAAAATTCCCTCTGTCAACCTGTTTATCTTGTTAGTGACATGAATAATCAAATTCAATTGGGTTAAACAAGATGTAACACACTGTCAAAAACCATTAGCCGTATCAGAGTCTCAAGCCACGAAGAGCTCTTTCTGTGTATTTTAGAGTTTTTCTCATGAAAGGAGACGTTCAAAATAAAGGAAACAATATATTTCATTTACAAGCTCAGAGTTCTTCAGGGTTAGGGTCAGCTTAATAATGCTATGATTTAATGATTTTTTTTCTCCTCCTCTTGGGATCCAGGAGTAGCAATCTACTTGACAATCCTTCAAGTACAATCGTTTCTTGTTGAGATTAAAAACCTGCTCGTGTCATACAGTTTACGTGGGATCTTTATTTGCAAAGGGAACAAATGAGGAACTGTCTTAAAAACTAGTAGGGGCATCAGCCTAGGATACTCCCCTCTTCCATTTGAGAGATATTTTTCCACCTCCTAGAATTTCTGTTGTATTTTTTCCAGGCTCAATGGCATCACACACCTGCCAGTTTCCTGCAGGTTTTCAGGTAGAATGGTTGTGTGCTGTAATGAACAAGGCTCCAGTGACTAATGGGATTGTCAGGAGTAGAAAACGCTGAGAGAGCTAACACACAAACCAACAAACAGGAATCTGCCCCCAAACAAACCATGTCAAAGTAAGACTCAAGTGGACCTGCCTTTGAGCAGACCTGTGCTCTGTTCATCTGACTGTTTCCTTTAAGGAAAAAAACTGCAGACAAAAGGAATACACGACACCTTCTATTTAATAACTTCTAGAATGCCAAGAGAATGGAGATTATTTATCCTGCTTGGTGTATTTTCCATACATGAACCGTTCTTTCTGAGGTGATCATCGAAGCTGGAAATTCTAGAGCCAGAGGCCCGCACTACCATTCTGCTTTCTTCTTTGCGCATAATCATCTGTCACGTGATAACAGTGGGTGGAAGTGAGTGAAAAGAAAACGAGGAA